GTGGAATTGCTGGGTCATATGGAAGCTCCATTTTCAGTAGTTTGAGGAACCTCCACACAGCTTTCCATAGTAGTTGGACCAATTTGCATTCCCACCAGCAGTGTAAGAGAGTCCTTTTTCTACACATCCTCTCCAGCATTTGCTTTTGCCCGTTTTTTTTTTTTTAATATGAGTCATTTTCACTGGTGTCAGGTGGTATCTCATTGTGCTTTTGATTTGCATTTCCCTGATTACAGGTGATGTTGAACATTTTTTCATATGCCTATTGGCATTTGTATTTCCTCTTTGGAGAAGTGTCTTTCTAGCTCTTCTGCTCATTTTTTATTTTTATTTTTTATTTTTTACATCATTGTTCATTTGTATTTATTTATTTTTTATTGACCATATCAATAGTTTTTATTTCTTTCTATTAAATTTATATACTTTTTAGTTGTTTCTTTTACCTACATTTCCTTTCTTTTTATTTTTTATATATATATTTTTTTATTTTTTATGTCATTGTTCACTTTTAAACAATATTTGCCTCCCCCCAGCCCCCTCAGGTGTAGTCCCCATAGAGTTTCCTTCACCGATGCACCCATGCACAATCACCTAAGTCCCCTGTGCTCCTCCCTCCCACCCTCTAATCCCTCTCCCTCCTCTTCCCCTGTAGTAAGTCTGATTTATAATTGTCCGTTTTTGTTTTGTACTGTTATTATTTTTTACACTGATGTCTTATTTGGTTCCCCTATATTCCTGTTATAAGTGAAAACATCTGATATTTTTCTTTTTCCTTCTGGCTTATTTCACTGAGTGTAATTCCTTCTAGTTCCTTCCACATTGCTGCAAATAGCATGAGTTTATCTTTTTTGATGCTGAATAATAGTCCATTGTGATATATGCCACATCTTCTTGATCCAGTCATCTATTTTTGGGCATTTGGGTTGTTTCCAGGTCTATTTACCTATTGTAAATAGTGCTTCAATAAACATATAGGTACAGGTGTTCTATTCTTCCCATTTTTTTGACTGGATTGTTTACTTTGTTTTTGTTAAGCTGTATGAGCTCTTTGTAGAATTTTCTGATCAGTCTCTTATCAGTTGTATTGTGTACAAAACATTTTTTCCCATTCAGTAGGGTGTCTCTTTTTTTTGGTTAATGTCGTTTTTGCTATGCAAAAGATTTATAGTTTGATGCAGTCCCAGGTGTTCATCTTTTCCTTCACTTTTTTTTTTTTTTTTTTGCTTTGGGGGATATGCCTTTAAAGGTATTACTTAGATGTATGTCATGTAGTGTTTTATCTGTATTTTATTCTATATATTTTACAGTTTCAGGACTTATATCCAAGTCTTTCATCCATTTTGAGTTATTTTTTGTGCATGGTATGAGGTGGTAATCTAGTTTGATTTTCTTTGCATGTAGCAGTCCAGTTTTCCCAGCACCATTTATTGAACAAACCGTCCTTGTTCCATTGCATATTCTTTGCACCCTTGTCAAAGATTAGTTGTCCATATATAAGTGGTTTTATTTTTGAGTTTTCTATTCCATTCCATTGGTCTGTGTGTCTGTTTTTGTTCTAGTACCATGCAGTTTTAATTACTATGGCTTTGTAGTATAGTTCAAAGTTTGGGAATGTGATACCTCCATTCCCCTTCTTTTTGGTCAGGAGAACTTTGGCTATTCAAGGTATTGTGTGGTTCCATATGAATTTCATCAACATTTGCTTCATTCTTTGAAGAATGTCATTGAAATTTTCATTGGAATAGCATTGAATCCATAAATTGTTTTCAGTAGGATGGCCATTTTTCATAATGGTAATTCTTCTGATCCATTAGCAGGGGACATCTTTCCATTTCTTTGTGTGTTCTTCTATTTCTTTTAACAAAGTTTTATAATTTTCTTTGTATTGGTCCTTCACCTCTTTTATTAGATTTTTTCTGAAGTATTTTATGTTTTTGGTTTCAATTGTAGAAGGGCTGGTTTTCTTGATTTCTTCTTCTTCAGATTGATCGTTTGCATATAGAAAGGCTACTGACTTTTGTGTGTTGATTTTGTGTCCTACAGCAGCATTATTTCAATAGTTAGGATGAGGAAACAACCTAAATCTCCTGCAATGGACAAATGGATCAAGAAGATGTTGTATGAACACACCATGAAGTATTATGTTGCCATAAAAAGGATGAAATGCAGCCATGTTCAACAAAAATGGAGGAAATTTGAGAGAATTATGTGCAGCAAAGTAAGGCAGAATGATAAAAACAAATACTGGGCATTCACATAACAGACAATTCCACAATGTAAAACACTTAAAAACTAGTGGATATCAATAAATATCCTGAGAACTCTTGGGTTAAGAAGGAAGAGGAGGGAGAGGGTCAAGAGGACACAAGAGATGGTGATGGATAAAAAATAAACCTCATGAAATATCATCTCACACCTGTGAGAATGATCCATATCTAAAAGACCAGAAATAACAAATGTTGGCAAGTGTATGGGAAAAAGGGACCCTCATATACTATTGTTGGTAGTATATTCTGTTCCAGCCCCTATGGAAAACAATATGGAGTTTTCTTAAACCATTTAAAATAGATCTACCATATGATCCAGCAATTCCACTCCTAGGTGTCTATTTGAAGAATGCAAAAACACTAATTTTAAAGGATATATGTACTCCTATGTTTACGACAGTACTATTTACTGTAGCCAAGCTATGGAAACAACCTAGTACCCAAGGATTAAGAAGTTGTTTTATGTATGTGTATACATACATACACATGTATGCATGTATATATACATACATATATATACACACACACACATATATATACAGTGGAATGCTACTCAGCTATATAAAAAAGATGAACTCTTGCCATTTGTGACAATATGAATGCAACCAATAAAATTAGTCAGAATGAGAAAGACAAAAATACTGGATGGTTTCAGTCATATGTGGATTATAAAGTAACAAAACAAAGGGTCAGACAAAATCAAATCAAATCAAAGTCTAGAAATCTGAACGTAAATTTGAGGTTACCAGAGGAGTAGGGCAAGGTGGAAAGCAAAGTGTGGAGATGGTCCAATGCACTATGTTGGGGTACTGCAGGGGTGTGTTGTGGTAACATACCTGAGGAGGTGTGAACCTAGGTATATACAGTGTTGTAAACTCAATCATATACAGTGTTGTAAACTAATATTAACTCAATAAAAAGGAAGATTTCTTGGGTAAACAACCATTTCACTCTCTTATTTGTTTCATAATTTTAAAATTATTTTGCTTCTTAACGGTCCTAAATGATCCTCAAAGCAACGGGAAAAAGACATTGCAGCAGTCTATTGAGGAAGAAACTGAGACCTAATAATATGGAGTGATTTGTTCAATGTCACATAACCAGCAAATAATAATATACTAGCTTTATTGTTATCAGAGTTTGGGTCTACTCATGTGAAAAATGGAAATAATTTCTGACCCTTCTACCTCATTACATTTCAGGTTAGATACACTAAAATAATAATGTGCCATGATTTGGTTGTTAAACGTGTATGAGCAATAATTTGTTCCTACATTCATGTGCTGTTAATCATAGGGCCAGACTAACCCAGATCCTAAGCTGAGTTGTCACAAAAGACTGCCAAATAGAAGGTAACTATAAAAAGAAAAATCTTAGGAATTTTAAATTTCCTGAAATATGTGAAATTATAATGATCAGCGTTGACTAAAGAATACACGAAAGAAATGCCAATAGTTCTAAGTAAACTCAATCATCTGGCCCTGTGTAAGGCATAGACTTCTTACTCTTTCCCTCCATCCCTTCTCATCTGTGGTCTAGCCAGGAAAATGAAGGGTGTCTTTGCAAAACCCCTACAGTGAAGATAGGATCTTGGATTCAGAGTCAAGGAAATCTCTGGGAAAAATTTCAACCTGGAATTTCTTGGACAGAGAGGTGGTCACAACATATCCATGTCCCTTTAGTAAGTAGATTGATAAATAGGGTAAAGCCGTATACATACACGTGTGTGCATAATGTCATTGCCTTTGCAGGATAGGATTTAATAAAACACTTAAAAAGCTGTCATCTCCAATCATCAGTCTCCACAGGATGAGCTTCATATGATGAGGTTCTCTTTCAGTGGAATGCTACTCAGCTATATAAAAAAGATGAACTCTTGCCATTTGTGACAATATGAATGCAACCAATAAGATTAGTCAGAATGAGAAAGACAAAAATATAGGAATGTAGGAAAACTGTGAATAAATAGCATGATTATAGTGACTGCACATGTAAAAGTTTCAATAGTTATTTCTATCTCAGCCTCTTTGAGATTATTGGTTTTTGTCCCGCTGAAGCTGTGTTAGCATCTACCTAAATTTTATATCTCCTGTGCACAGTTCTATCTCACTAAACACATAAATATACACACACCTATTTTGCTCTCTGCAGATTTCATAGCAGATTACTAAAGAGAAACAGGCTGTGGTTTCCTTGAAAAATGGGCAGTTGAGAAGGCAGAAACAGTATATTTCTGATTTACCATTACACTAGATTAAGAAATTAAAATTACAAAACTAACTACAAGAAAGAAAAATTTTGTTGAGAATAAACCAAGTAACTATAAAACGGGTTTTCACGTATTTTTTAAATGGAAGACCTTATTATAAAGGTATAGAATAGTCACGAAAACTGCTTTTGTGACCTAGATGGGTGCTGAGCTGGAGAAGGTTGGGTTAATGCCAAGTTAATGTGGGGAATCAGGGCCCAAGTTTGAAAAAACAGAGCCAGGGTCAGGGGCTATTGTGACAGGACAGAGGGAGAAAGACACTATGTGGCGGGCTTCCCTCCGGTCTTGCTCAAATCTGAGGGAGCAGAGAGTTGGTGGGAGCAGGTGAGGCACGTTTTGCTCCTGTGAGCCTCCGCCAAGGGCTCCACCTCTCCTCTCTTCCCCCACTGGCACCCCCCACCCCCATCCCAGAACTTGAAGCCCCTCTCGCTCCTCCCTAGGCTCCTCCCTGGCCCCGCCCACCGTCTCCCACTCAGCTTGTAACAGAGTCTTAAGAATCCCCCGACCTGTGCTAGCAGCGGTGTAAGGCAGACAGGGGAGGCAGTAAGTAGGTGCTGCTAGGGCCAGCACGATCTTCTTTCCCAACCTGCAGCCCAGGACGCTGATTCCAGCCTGCACTTAACCTCGCAGCCCAAAGATTCACCATGGTGAAAATCGCCTTCAACACACCCACAGCGGTGCAAAAAGAGGAGGCTCGGCAAGACGTGGAGGCCCTAGTGAACCGCACAGTCGGAGCTCAGATCTTAACCGGCAAGGTAGCAGTTTCCAATACACTCCTGACAGCCTGCTGGTGTTGGGAAGGGGTTGGGGAGGTGGGAGAAAGGAACAGGGCAGGTGGCGGAGGATAAAATGAAAGTTGCCTTTCTGATCCTGCTTTCCCAGGCGGTCTTGTCTGAACTATCCTTCGGGTTTGCTGCCTCTCACGGTTCTGTCTAGTCAGCCACTTTCTTTTGCGGTGCCCTACACACACTTTTTATCCCTGCACGTCGAGCCAAGTTCCTGCGGTTCTAATTCACGCAGCATATGGCTGAATGATGTTGGAGAGAGCTCGAGGAGAACCTCTGGGAATCAATGTCATCTCTTTGGGAACATGTGGGAGACTGGGATTCAGTGAGAGGAATGCTGCCGAATCCCCCTCTCCAAAGGCATGCACAATTTGCCCAGGGGCAGAGTGGACATGCAGGGTGAGCAAGGGCAGGAGATTATACTCTTCTTTCTTTCCTTTTGACGTGGATGAAGTTCGATGACTCTAAGTCCTTCTAGGATCACTGTGTGTTGGGGGAGAGGACAGGGTAACTTTCACTTGAAGCAATAAAGGTTGACGCAGGTATGTGTGTCCGCTTGAGCATGGATATTTTCGATTTTCCCTTGGTCACAGGGGGCTTTAAGTAGTTGGTAATGGAATTAGTCAAAGTTGAAGTTGGTCTTAATTAGAATTTGGGATGTTCACTGTGCTCTCTTACTGCAAGAACTTTGTGTGTTTTTCGAGTGGCAATTCCTAAACAAAAACTTACTTCCATAAAAATTAATTTGGAGACTTTATTTCCTTTTTTCTTTTTTTAGTATTTCCTTTTTGAGTCATGGTGATCTCAACCCCCCTCCCCCCATGTAGAGATGTAACTCATGTCCAAGCTTGTAATTTAAAACTATTAACATTGCAAGAACTGGGAGAGTATTCAAAAAATATATATTAACCATTATTTATTCAGTCCAATTTCCTTTAAACATCTATCATGGTTTCAATGTTTTAAACTACTTCTCATTTCTTCAGTAAAATCACAATGTTAAAAAGCACAATGATATTTTCTTCTTGTTATACAAGATCTATGAAGATCTTTTGTGTTCAGAATGGAAATTTTAAATGTGCTTTCATTGAAATGATAACCCTGTGGTAAAAATGATTGTGTACATAATCTGAAATACTAATGTGTTTATGTGCAAGTTTTATCATGAAAACATTCAATATTTAAGCCAGCAATCAGACTAACTTTTGTGTATTATACATTTCAGAACGCAAAAGTAACACTCCCTTGCATTGTTGAGGTTTTGATTAAATGGCAGAAGGTTAAATATGTAACCTACTGACTTTGTAAGTGTAACATGGCCAGATTTTTGGGGAGGTCTAATTAGATGCCAGTAGTTAAATATAGTCACATAGTTATGCTTTTTTTTTTTTCTCAGCAGCAAAAACCTCATGACTTGTAGTTGGATTCAGTTAATATGCAAGTTATACTTATTGCCAGGCTTGTGGTGTGATGAGAAATAAACAAATTTGAGCATTTGCACTGTGATTAGATTTCTTTGTTAGGTGTTGAGAAACCCCCATAGGATCCTGACTTGGCCACTGCAGGACACTGATTTTATATTACTTGAAACATCATATTGTGATGTTTAATATTGGTCAGCTTATCTGATATTGGGCACAACAGAATAGTATATCACAGGCTGTGTGTTAAAATGCAGTTCACAGAGAAATTAGCTATAATAAGTGACAACCACCAACACCCTGAAGACCAGAAAATTTAAATGAAAGCAAAAAGCCTTTATTTCTAGTATGGTAGGAAACTTTTTGTAATTGAGACTCTAATATTTAGACTTTGCTTAGTAATAGACTCCCTGAATATTGGAAGGAAAAAAGAAATTGTAGTTTATATTGTTCTCATATCTCAGAAATAAAAGAAAAATACATTTGTTACTTTGAATATTTCAAAGTAAGTCATTTTGTAATTTATAGGCAGGTCACTCATCTCTATGGATCTCAAATTAATCAACTGAAATATAATTTCTAAGTCTAAAGTAGAGTGATTCGCACTCATAATTTATAGTTCTGTCTTTGCAGTGTCAATTTTAAACATTTAATAACAATAATTAAAATTTCTGAAAAATTTTAAGTCAAGGAAAAGCCCTAAGGTTTACAGAAAATTAATGAAAGGTTTGAACTTAGATAAGTGTAGTTAAGAAAATGTGAATACCAAATTTCTTTGAATTTCAAAGAAAAATAATTTTCTGAAAAACCATTTATTAATTGTTGCTTCTCAGAATTCATGCATATGTTTTCACCAAATTAACTGATTGTTAGCCATATAATCATAATAGTAGTTGTCATGGAAAAGAGCTAATGGCCTAAAAGACTAAAACAATTATATTTATATACCAATTTGAATGACTTAACCTTTGATTACCAGAGACTAGATTTGCTGACTTCATATATTCTACCCTTATGTAATAGTGTGTCTTTAGGATATTTTCACATAGAAAAATAGGATTGGAGGACCTCTTGATCCACTACTCTGGGAGAATTTCAGAATTAATAAGTTACTTGTTTGCTTTGAAATCTTTCTTGTTCCAACTAAGCAAATGACTGACTGAAAAGAATTTTGTAGTCACTATTACACACATTTTGTACCTAACTATTTCAAATACTATACTTTAAAATTTAATGTTTTGCCTAGAACTTAGAAAATATTATTTCATTCATGCAGCATATAGCTATAGAATATTGGGTGACATTGGGAAGCCTAATATCTCTCTAAAAATAGGAACAATATGAAATATCTCATTTTCTATATTTCAATTTCTAAAATAAGGTGAAATAGCATATAGGTGTCTTATAGAACTCCTTCCTGTAGAACTTAAGTTTCAAAAAAAGCTTAATGAAATTATTTAATAGATTTTTTTAATTGACAGCAAATAGATTTACAAAAAAATTGTAAAGAAACACAATTGTATTCCAGAAAGTAAGCGATTATATCACTATACAAATCCAAAAAGTAATAATTCCTTTTATTTAGAGAGGATAACTTATTTCATAAATGAATGACTATTTTCAGCTAATTCTACAAGTATGTATTTTGAAATAACTTTATGTCTATATTTGGGTTTGGAAATGCTCGAAGGAGGGTTAATATAACTGGAGATTTTCACATCTATTAAATTCCATTCATTGTCTTGAAGTGATTTCAGGTAAGGATAATAGCGTCTTTTAAAAATATTTTGGGTTTCAAGGAACATAAATCACACAGAAAAGAAACTATATGTCTAAAAGTGCAATCAGTTTGTTTAGTTATTTGTTAACTTTCAAATGAAGTGCTATTGTTTTACATTCTTGTTAATATTTTGACAGTATAGGATTTCTCCTCTCAGGTGTGATCACCATAGCTCTCCCATTTGATTTTGCTTTTCAATAATAGGAACTCCTAGTCGCGTCCCAGGAGAAAGAAAGTTCCTCTGGGAGATGCATGCTGACTCTCTTAGGCCTGTCATTCATCTTGGCAGGACTTATTGTTGGTGGAGCCTGCATTTACAAGTACTTCATGCCCAAGGTAATAATTACAATTATTATTGGTATTACTCAGTTTTATACATTTAGTAGCAACTTAAATAATACTGTGTTCGTACCAGAGAAATGAAAATTTAGGGAAGATTTCCAATTTCCTTTTAGTTTATAAAATTGATTAGTCTTCATGGTGACAAATATAGTCAACAATCTTTAGCTTCGTAAAAAATACAATGAATTGATATGAGTGTGAGATATGATACAAATGTCATGGTAGTATTAGAATATTTTGTTCCTGCATTTTCTTCTTCTAGAATACTATCTACCATGGAGAGATGTGCTTCTTTGATTCAGAGCTCCCTGCAAATATCCTTCGAGTAGGAGAGCCCTACTTCCTTCCTGTCACTGAGGAAGCTGACATTCGCGAGGATGACAACATCGCAATCATTGATGTGCCCGTACCCAATTTCTCTGATAGTGACCCTGCAGCAATTATTCACGACTTTGAAAAGGTGGGCTTCTCATTCCTACTGGTATTTTCTCAGCTTATTTATTTGTACTAAACCTGTTTATAAATGTAGTTGTTGTTGTTTTCAGAAGAAGGGTACCAGAATTCATGATTACAACACATAGATAATCTCACTAATGTCCTGCGATTTCTTTTTTTTTAATTGAAGTAACATTGGTTTATACAAATATTTTAGGTGTACAGGCTTACAAATCAACATATGTATATAGCACATTATATACATCTTTTTGCAACAAAACCTTTTTCATTCCTTTGATATTGAATATACATTAGTTGATTTTGAAAGGCTGAAGCTGCTTATTCTAATGGTAGTTGGAAAATCCTCAGTGTTGATACTGTCTATATCATACCTCACTTTTCTCCCCTCCCCAACAGGGCATGACTGCTTACCTGGACTTACTGCTAGGAAACTGCTATCTGATGCCGCTCAATACCTCCATTGTTATGTCTCCAAAGAATCTGGTGGAACTCTTTGGCAAACTGGCTGTATGTATTTTGGATGTCAAAATTTTTATAAACATTTCCAAATATTTTTTCATTTCAAAAAATAATGATTTGAACCAAAACATTCCAATTCACTGAAATATAATTTTCAAATAAGAAGTATGCTGTGAACCTAAAATTGCTCTAAAAAGTCTATTTAAAAATGTATCTGCTATAGATAAAGATTTAAATAATGTTTTTAAAGAATTTATCACCAGTTGTTTTTTTTTTTTAATTACGATTTTTAGAGTGGTAAATACTTGCCTCACACTTACGTGGTTCGTGAAGACCTAGTTGCTGTGGAAGAGATTCGCGATGTTAGTAACCTTGGCATTTTTATTTACCAACTTTGCAACAACCGTAAGTCCTTCCGCCTTCGTCGCAGAGATCTTCTGCTAGGTAGGAAATTAATCTCTTCCTTTATCTTGTGTAACTGGGAGACTGAAATATAGTGGGAAAAGCTAAGAGCAAATTTAGATCTTTTTTTATTTACACAAATGCTCAACAGGCACTTTTTATCGAGATGTCTTGGTTTATAACTTTATACAAGTTTCAGGTGTACAGTATTATAATTTGACATCTGTATACACTTCAGTGTGCTCACCATGTAAAGTCTAGCTTCTATTCTTCACCATAAAATTAACCTTTTTATATATTTTGCCTACTTCCCAGCCCTCTTCCTCTCTGGTAATCACTAGTCTGTTCTATCTATGAGTTTGTTTTGTTTCTTCCTTTATATTCCACATATGGGTGAAATCACATACTATCTGTCTTTCTTTGTATGACATTTACCTTAGCATAATACCCCTGAAGTCCAGTCAAGTTAGAAATGGCAAGATTCCACTGTTTTATGGCTGAGTAGTATTTCATTGAATATAAAGTTATTTGTGGCTTAATGTTTCATTCAGCAATGCACTGCATATATGATAGTTCCAATAGGTTATAGCATATAGCCTATGTGTGTTGTAGGGTATACCATACAGGTTTGTGTAATTACACTCTATGATGTTTGCACCACAAAGTCACCTAACAATGCATTTCTCAAATTGTATCCACATGTTAAGCAACAAATTATTGTATACAACAAATCTTTATCCATTCATCCTTGGATGGGCACTTAGCTTTTTCCCACGTATTGGCAATTGCAAATAGTGCTGCAGTGAACATAGGGGTGCATATATAATTTTTGAATTAGCTTTTTATTTTACTTTGTTTTCTTCTCTAAAAATTTATAATGGTGAACATTTTTTTTCATGTTGCTGTTGGCCTTTTGTTTGCCTTCTTTGGAGAGATGACTATTCAGATCCTCTACCCATTTTTTAATCAGATTGTATGTTTTTGAGTTGTTGAGTTGTATGTGTTCTTTATGTATATTGTATATTAACCCCTTATCAGATTATGATTTGCAAATATCCTTTTTTTGTGTATTTCCTCACAGGTTTCAACAAACGTGCCACTGATAAATGCTGGAAGATTAGACACTTCCCCAATGAGTTTATTGTTGAGACCAAGATCTGTCAAGAATAAGAGCCAACAGAAAGAAAAAAAAAATTCAGTAGCAATAAGAAGTCAGTGCTTTATAATATGATTGCAATATTAAAGTTGGGTGGGATACCGAAGAAATTTACTCATGCATTTACTCTACTGCTTATACTAAAAAAAAAAAAAAAAAAGAAAGAAAGAAAAAAAGATAAAATACCAGCAACTGCATACTCTTGTCAGTTTTTTTATTTCACTGACATTGTTTGTTGTTTGAAACTGAAATAAAGTGTATTTTTTATTTTTTTGTTTGAATTTATAGGGTTTAAACTCCTGAAAACAGCATGAATGTGTCAGCTAACATCTTGACAAGAATCTCCATTCTTTGAATTTTTTAAAGTAAACTCTACTCAATTACATTGTAGAAGATGATTTAAATTTAAAATTGCTTTGATCTTTTTGTGAAAAGGATGTCAAATCTCTTAGCATTAACTTTTTTTAAATTTTCATTTATTGCAACTTTCCTGAATTTAGGAATTATACCTTTGCATTTTTGTTAAGTGTTCTGTAATAATTCTGACTTATATGTGAAAAAATTTTATAAGTGATTTTCACTAATGCAATGATTCTCTTTTACTAATATGTAAATCCACATTGTGAAATCCAGAAAACTGTAAAAGTGCCGAATGCTGTGAGGACTATGTTATAAAGACTATGAATGCTACAACTGTATAATAAATTTTACCATATTCAACCACTGTTCTTACTTGAGGTATATTTATTGTGAAAATTTATCATTACTTATTTAACTTTAGTGTACCTGCAACGATAGAAAATTATTAAGCTAGCTCTCCCCAACTCCACATATTTATATTTTATAATCTCATATTTTACTCCTTTTTGATGTTATGTCAAATACTCTTTTATTATTTTACAAATACTCTAGAATTGGCTCACATGTAAATTGAATTGCATGTCCATGGCAAGTTTAAACCTTTTAATGTGTTTCCTTTTTCACAAAAACATCATATGCAGCTATAATAGATTACTAAGAACAAAGTTTGAATAAGATGTTAAGATTAAGATTTTTAAGAACTTCACACTATGGTCTCTAGCTGCCTACACAGCTCCTATTGATTATGTTACAGCTGGCAAATGAAGAAGCATCTGTTGAAGAACGTGGCACTACTACTGAACTGAGGAGTATCCAGGAGGAGTCAGCCACCAGCCACCAGTGTCCACATTCTCCCTTAAAGTGTGTGGAAGCATACTCACTGCCTACAGTCAGCTATGTCCACATTAGCACAGAACAGACATGTCAGGTTCAGAATGTTCTTGAAACTTTTAGTGCCTCAATTTCTTCTGCTCTAATGTAGGTCACTGAGCACTTTATCGATGGGTGTCCCTGTTGAAAAAATGATCAGAGATCTTCCTGGTGCTGCAGGGGTTAAAGTCTTAGTGTTATCAAACTATTGCCAGCCACTGCATACTGTGTTCGATCCCCTGCCAGGGAGCTAACACACATGGCCCAGCAGACCTCTCCTGTCTCACCGCTGCTCCCCTCAGCAGTGTATTTCAGTAGATCCAACTGTGCTGCTCCCCACTCTGTCTCTGGTGAATTCTCTCTCCCCTCTATACCTCCCCACACCTCTGGCATACACCTTAGTTCTTGTGTGCATAAATAAATAAATCTTTAAAAAAAGAAAAAAGAAAAATGATCAGTACAGGTGCCACTGTCAAGAAAATCACAAGTTACATGACTTAACCCTCAAGTTACATAACTTAATCCTCAAGTTACATAACCTAACCCTCCCCCTGCTTCCATTCATTAATATGTTAACAATTTTCTCATTTTAGCTTAGACGATAATTTGAAAACACTATTAGGAAAATAAATCCTGCATTTTTGATGTTGTCATTTTTACGAATCAATGTTCTGAACATACTAAGGGTGAACTAACATACTGGTGAAACAAATGACCTTTGCTTAAAATCATACAAAAGGGGGGGATCAGTATTTTAAACACATTTTTCTTTTAATAAGTTAAAAATTGTCCCTGATAACTGATCACCTGCTGGTAAAGGCAATCAATTTTGATAGCCAAAATTGTACCCAGTCAAATACATAGTCCTCAATATGTCATTATTTAAAAACTAAAATACATTTTAATATAAAAATTTTAAACTCCTGTCTGCCAGAAGATGGCAAACAGACAGGATCTTTGAGTTGTTGTTTCTCACAGGAACACCAAGGGTAGTGCCTGGAGGGAACACCCACATCTACAATGGACCTGGGGATGAGAGGACCAAATTGTCAGCAAAAAGGACAGCCAGAAATCATCAGAAAGGGGAGAAAAGACTGAAAAACTAAGTCGGGAATGGTGTCACCTCAGTGGAAGGGCTGAGAAGGAGAAAAAACGATTCTCTGTGAGAGCATAGCCTGTTTCACAGTGCAATAAGGAACACTCAGGCTCAGGAGCTGGATTCAGGAGTAGAGAGAGTCACATGGTCATCCCCAGTGTGGCTCCCAAGAACAACTCTAACTGCCCTGGGGAGCCTGGGAAGATATATCCCTCTCTTAACCTGAGTTACATGGTCAAGATATATCCCTCTCTTAACCTGCACTTACATGAAGATTATGGGAAGTCACAGAAAACTTGATCTGCTTGGTAGCTCATTCAGGGTTACCATGGAACATAATGTTTGCATAGAATTTTTGGCAGGAGACTGCTAAACTCCAGCTTTCCAGGTGGCTGGAGGTTTGCCCACTATTCCCCTTCCTATTCCTGCAAGACCTTTGCACTGTGCTGACAAAGAGGGTGAAAACAAGGGACCCTGTGCAGCCCCAGTGTGGCCATATCTCACATGTGTGGACTTTTCAGCAGGGGACTGAATATTAACTGTCTGTTAGCATGTGATTGAGTGTTACACAAGGATCCCAAACTGTTAAGAGGTACATGCGCTAAAAAGGGGTCCAGCCATCCACCACACAAAGGCAAATGTAACATAATCAAGAAAATATAGGCAAAACACTACATGACATATATCTCAGTAACATCTTTAGAGACACATCAGCTAAAGCAAAGAAAGTGAAGGAAAAGATAAACAACTGGGACTACATCAAATTAAAGAGCTTCTGTACAGCAAAAGTGACATTAACCAAAACAGAGACACCCCACTGGGAGAAAATTTTTGCACTCCATACAACTAATAAGGGACTGATCACAAAGATCTACAAAGAACTGATGTGACTCAACAAAAACAAAGTATGCAATCCAAACAAAAAATGGGCAGTAGAGCTAAAGACACTTCCCTAAAAAGGAAATGCAAATGGCCAACAGGTATATGAAAAACTGTTCAACAACACTTGTAATCAGGGAAATGCAAATAAAACCACAATGAGCTACTATCTTACACCAGTGACAATGGCTCATATTGAAAAAAAAAAAAAAACAGAAAAAAACAAATGTTGGCAAGGATGTGGAGAGCACTACACTGCTGGTAGGAATGCAAACTGGTCCAACCACTATGGAAAGTTGTGTGGAGTTTCCTCATACTACTGAAAATGGAGCTTCCGTATGACCCAGAATTCCATTAATTCAGAAGGACAGCTGCAACCCTATGTTTATTGCAGCAGTATTTACAATAGGCAAGCTATGGAAACAAACCAAATGCCCAAAAATAGATGACTGGATCAAGAAGATGTATATATACACAATGGAATATTACTCAGCAATCAAATAAGATAAACTCATGCCATTCACAGAAACATGGATGGAGTTGGAAGGGATTATGCTCAGTGAAATAAGCCAGAAAGAAAAAGAAAAAATATCAGATGGTTTCACTTATAAGAGGAAGTAAAGGAAACAAATAAGCGATCAGGAGAAAAAAGTAATTATAATAAATTAAAAATAAAAATCAACAGGCAACTATAAATCAGAGACATTCTGCAGGGAAGGAGGAGGGAGAAGGATCAAAACAGAGACAGGAAGAGCACTAGGGACTATGGTGATGGTGCACGAATGAATTGATGGTGGGAATTTCATGGGGACTACACCTGAGAGGAGAATGTATACATTGTACAAAAATGAAGAATGATGTAAAATATATAAAAAATAAAAAAGTAATGTAATCTTAGTGTGAAATATCGTTAATAAAATTAATATGCATAGAGAAGGAACATAAGAAAGGATATTCTTTATAATAGATTTCTTGTAAAACACCCCAAATTACCCATCACTTCATGGGCAAATAGAGAGTTTTGGCCCAAAGTGGAGTTGCTGAGGCCCAAATGCTTGCCACAGGTGTCTTTTGGCTAGGAACCACAAAAAAGTGGTTATGCATGTCTGGGACAGAAGGACAGACACAAAAATACAAATCAAGACAACAGGAGCCATTGTCTATGTCAAGGACAACCTCCCCATTTGTCTCTAACCTGTGTGTGTTTTCCAAGTATCTCATGTGTCTGTTCTTTGTATGTCTCCTCAAAGTTTCCTCAGCAGTACCAGGGTGCAAGTCAGGACACAGAAGCAAAAGCTCACAAGTGTTCTATTATAAACCCAATTATGGCCATTTAACTCCACCCCTAGTTTCTAGAAGCCTCCCATTAAGGTTGTCATATTCACTGCATGCTGGGAGTTGTAATCCTGCATGCAAGAGACCCCTTCAGTGTAGAGGTGGAGGTGGAGTCTGTAAAAATACCAGGGGGTGGAGTTCATTCAAGATGTCGTTCACAGGCTTAGAGTTTTCTTCTTACTCTAATAATTCAATGAATATTGGAACAAAATAAACATAAAATGTGACAAATATGGTTATAAATCAGGTTGTAATGTTAAAAATATTTTTAAAAGATAAAAATGTAAAAAATATTTTTTATTGAGATGTGATTGGCATATGTTGACTGAAATAAAAGTTTCAATGATAGAGTTTATAAGATAATCAAAGTAAAACTTTGAACGTGGGATGCAGTCCCACAGATTTTACTCTGTGAGAACTATTCCAACAATTACAAGTTTGAATTTCATTTTTCAGATAAGAATATTGAGTTATTGATGTAAACAATGTAATTTTTTAATAAAAGACTTATTTATTTATTTATACAAGAACCGGGGTATAGGCCAGATGTGCAGGAGGGTGAGAGGATTCACCGGAGACAGAGTGGGGAACAGAACAGGCAGACTGATGAAATACACTGCTGAGGGGAGCAGCTGGTGAGACAGGAGAGGTCTGCAGCGTCATGTGGGACCCTCGCCAGCTGGCTGGGATTGAACCAGCACTGCAGAGGCAGCGTACAGCTTCACAGAGCGGCTGCTCAACCACCTGAGCCACCAGGGGAGGCCCCAATGTAATTATTCTTAAAGTTAGGGGGCATTCTAATTTTCTAGGGGCTTAGATCATTCACTTTCCTTTTACATTTACCTAAAGATACGTTGATTTTTTTTTTTTTTTTTTTTTTTTTTTGCAGAGAAGAGAGGAAATGCCAGAATTTAATCACTCCATGATTTCTAAAGAAAGCACTGTGGAGATGCAAGGCTGGGTACCCATCGTTTAGATGTTTTTTATCAAGTTTCTTGGACATTAGTGAGGTGTGAACGACTGGTTTACTAGCAGGCAGCAGATGTTTTTCTTTATTTTTTTAATTTTCTTACACCATTGTGCATTTTATTTGATTTCTTACTTCAGGTGTCCCCATAATTTTCCCAGCATATCAGCACCTATGGCCCATCACCATAGTCCCTTGTGCTCTTCCCTCC